TGAGTTGACTGTATTATCCTAATAACAATTTACAGACGTTAATGATTGTCAAGCCTTATCCATGCATTGAATTGTGGAAAATCATTCCATTTAGTCATACAATTTGCAATGTACTGAGATGTATCTGGGGTGTTCTGACATGTTTTCAGTCTCTCATGCGCTCTCTCAGCTGACAGAATGGCTCCTCTAGAGAGGGAGAAGGAACATAGAAATTTTATAGAATCAAAGAAGCCTTGTCTTTATGTGTTTAAATCTAAATTGAATACTGATTTAAAATTTCTTCACTTACAGTAAAACATAAATCTGTATTGCAAATGTGACTGACTTTTAAGCCCATTGGAACTGAAAAGACTTGTCAAACTGTAGCATTACATTAAATTAGATGTGGAAGAAGCGAACTTGTATGATGATATTGTCTCTTGACAGCATGGATTGAGTAAGGTGGGGCAAATTCTTTATTAGATGGGACTAGGAGTGAGGCTTTTTGTTGGTAATACAAGAAAGCTGCTTGCATTTCCCTTCCTTGATCTAACTTAAACTCTTGCAGACTGTTATTAAGGTCTTTAGGTTCAGAGAGAAATCTGTAAGTCAATAGCATAAACCCTTATTTCTATTGCCATTTCCATTTATAAATCTGGACTATAATGAAGCAGACTTACAGGATAGTTACCTGAAGAACCCCAATATAAAGTATCTTCAGTTACCTAGCTACTTCAGACCCACTTTTATGATCTAAGAAATTCAGTGGTAATAATCAGGAGGCTCAAGAGCCAGGAGTACCATCTCATCTTTGTTCTAAAATTGACGGGGGGGAGAACCATATAAGCAGTGTGCAAGTTTTCTGCTTGTCTGTCTGTGTATGAAGAAGTTTTTGTAGTCCTAGAATAGATAGAATGAACACAGAGCAAGACTGGGGTGTGATGTTACCCTCATATTCAAATTTTGTCATCGTTCACTTTCCAAAACACACACTTCCTATTTCTGTCTCCTAATGTCGGTAGCACTGATTTAAAAACAACCAAAAAAAGTCAGTGTGTTAGCAACTTAATTTTTTATATCACAGTATATCAATTCCCCTGGATGGAAGAAAGCAAACAAAAGTTTGAGTTGTCTAAATGGTAATTCAGACATGAACTGGAAAAACATCCACCTTGCTTGAGTAAATGTAAACTCTGAATTTGAGGAAAGCAAAACAGCTCTTCTGAGCCACGCTTTAGGTATAGCCTTGGTGCTAACAGTTGGGTGGTTATTACTTGTGGTATACCAGCATAGAGATTATGTAGCGCAAATTGATTTGTTCTCAGATCAAATGTAATCTGAAATGCCAAAAACTTCATTGGGGATTCTCTTTTCCATACTCAGCTGTTATCAATGGCATTATTTTCAGTTGAAATGTCAGGGGGGTGAAAGAGGCTAGAGTAAGTTAGTTCAAGTCATACAGTATAAGTAAGCAATTTTGGGGAATGGTATCCCAGCACAGTGTCCTTATACAGTTAACATGTGGTCTTTATTCTTGTGTAGGAAGAAGAATGTAACTGCTTAGTGCTGTCACAGTCTTCGAGGCACTTCTTGCAGTGCAGGTAGAGCCTTAATTAGCAGAGAAAGGAGAAACAAACTTAATATTGATTTTCTTTATATTTTTATTTCCCAATGGCAAGTGTAATATCATACCATGGAAACTCTTTGAACACTATGGTAAGGAAAGAGGGTGCAGCTTTTTCTGAAATTTCGAAATAAAAAGAGCACGTGGGAATGTGGATTTGTCTGCATGAGGAACATCCCAGTCATTTGAAGCTTAAAATATGTGACCATAATAATCAAATTGGATGCCTATAGCTTAGTAACATAAATAAATAACTGATGTGTCCCAGGCAATCTTTGCAAGTCCAGTGAGTTTGTGTATGATTTTAGTGCAAATTGCCAGTTGTCCAGCATTTGGGAAAGTTTAGGTGCCTAGCTTCATCCAGCAAGGCAGGTGTCTTTGGTTATACAAGCTAGATGTTTTCTTATTCCAGGAAACAACTGATTCTTAGATCTAAAAGTTTTAGGAAAACACGATTATCAACTTCAATTTGAAAAATACAGTCTTGGAAAAGATGGAAGCAACAGGTGGTGGAGTGTCTCTGAAAGTAAAAAGCATTAGAGATGATGGAAATACATATGAAATGTATATGGGGAAAATACATCTGTAAGCAAAAAAGAAAATCTTGTGGAGTATTTGTTGTTTAAGAAATTATTTGCGTCTTTGTAATGTTATAAAAGATTTATTAATAGTTCTGTGGCAGACAGCACTCACAAGTCTTTGGCATCCAAACCAGATTGTGTATTGGATGGATCCCACAACTGGATGTGTGCACTGACCTCTTTATTTCTAGCTTTTTAAAAAGAAACTTGGTAGCAGCGTTTTATAAATGTATAAAGCAACCTGAGACAGAAGAGAAGAAATGGTGTTTACATCACAGCTGCTGCACAGTTCACAATTGGTACCTTTAATCTGCAGCCTCTCAAGTGAAGCTGCTCTAATGGGCAAAACAAGCACATCCAATGACTTTCAGTTTTTTTCTAATTTTAAGGTGTTCCCATTACCCCTTTGGCCTCTGCTTGTTGTGTAAGCAGCCTCTATGCTAAGAGGAGCTTTCCTTGAAGTCAGCGTAGTAACTGTGCTGTAGCTTGATTATTTTTCCCTATTTTCTATAACTAGTAGCATAGTGTCGAGCTCTTTCCCCATTGTATTTGTTGCTATGGGGAGGCAGAGGTGAGGCAAGGCATGCGTGGGAGGAAGAGTTGTGGGATCTTATCTGTGACAGCTCCCGCCCCCTCTTTGAAATCATCTACTTCCAGTTGTGGGATTTCTCTATGGATGACTTTTTTTCCTCTTTTTGTAAGCCTAGTTTTCTTTGATCTTGTTAGTTCCGTACAAGTCTCCCCGAGACATTCTGCAGTCATTATCACCTTTTTGGGTGGAGTTTATTTTATTTTTTGGTTTGTTCGGTTTTTTAAATAACTTTTTAACATTGGTGCATATATGCTTGGGATAGAGCTCATGTAATTTTCCAATCGTATTGATTGTATGTGATTGTGCCCTGCAGAGGTATATTTAACAAAAAATAAAATAAAAAAGGATAGTCTAGGTAATAAAGGAGGCAATGAGATTTGTTGAGTCAGGTTATGAACTATTTCTTGAACTTATTTAGGATCCTGTATAAGTGAAATTCCCTCTCTGCTGTTCTCATAAATCAATGCTAAACAAAATGTCATGAATTCTCTCTTTGTTTGAACTGGTTCTTTTCTTGCTTTTCTTCTCCTTCTGCTGTTTTCTTCCTTTCCTGCTGCTCTTCCCCATCAAAAACAATTCTTGACCCTTTAGTGGAATGACTGACTCTGGGTTGATATTGTGAATATTTATTGTTTGTAACTATCAAAACATTTTGAATAGGAGTAGAGATTAAGTAGAACATATGAGAAGAATTCCATAAACTGAATTCTTTGCAAGTTCAGGGGAATTTTGAAGTCTTGTACATACAGGCCTGTTCATGGGGGGAGACATTCAGAGGCACACAAGGCATTGATAATCTCTTTCCTTGAAAGGTTGGATGCTTTTACTACCTTTTGGAAAAACTCTGAGATGACAAAAGGAGTAGAAGAAAGAGTTCAGTGTATCCAACTCCCTTTATCTTTACTTCTGCAACATACTTTTTAAACTTGAAAGAAAAGCCTTCTAGATATTATGGTGAAGTGGGGTGGAGTGGATTGAAGGAGGCAAGAGGATGCAGAGATCTGAAAGTCAGTATTTGTCTCCTTTATTTCTTTTTTTAGAACTATAGAACCAACAATGTCACTTTTGTATTAAAGAACAAGGAAGTGGAGACCTATTGTGTGTGCATGGTGGTTATATAGAAAAAGCCATATGTTGAAATGCTATTTCTTCTTCCCTCTTCAGCTTGCTTTTCTCCCTCTTAGACTGACTCAACCTTACCTTGTTTCCACATAGTGTCTAAGGGTCCTTTGAGTTGCAGATTCAACAAAAAAAATGAGTGAAAAGGTGGTGATTCGCTATTTGGTTTGTAAATAGATGGAAGTGTCTGCAAGGTCTTATCTGCTTTTCTGTCAGCATTTACATTAAATGATAAATTAATGGAGAACACTTTTTGAAATATCTCTCATTTTCTGTCTGGCATGAATGTGCATTCTTCTAAATTTTGTGTGAGGTGTAAGACTCTATGAAGACTGACCATGTAAGACTTTCTCCAGGTCAAGGTGTGTTTGTTCTTGGCCGGGCTGGAGCATAAGAGATGCCAAATAGCAGAGAAGCCGTGTGCCTCTTTGGAGATCTGGTCTGTCACGGGGGGGGGAATGAGAGACAGAAGAGGGGTTTGGATTGCTTAAAGAATCACCTCCAATTGTATTAGCAATAGAAAAATGATTTAATAGAAATTTATATAAAAGCGTGACTTTACAGAATTGGATGGCAAGGTTCACTCGTATTACTTGGTACCTGGATGAAAAGCACTCAGGAAAATTAAGTTAGAATCAGACTAAACTTAACCTATATAGAGACCAAAAATGTAGTAGGGTAAAAGGAAATATTAGAAAGAAAATTTGAGTTAGAATTAATTCCTGGTGACTTGTGCAAAGATTGGGAACGTGGAAAAATAGGGGAGACCCTCCCATTTGAGTCACGAAGTTCAGAGAATACCTCCTTGCTTTCTAAACTCCTGTTAGAGTCTCGGTGCGGCTGGGTCGACTCCTAGTCCCAGACTTGGTCAACGGTTTATATCTAAAGGGATTATGAGTATAATAGCCTAAAAATCATTCACAGTTGAATAAAAGTCACAACGGTAATTTAAGTATAAATTTGAAAGTAATAACTTTATAATATACTTGCTATAATATGCTTATTATAGACTACTCGGGTTAGTACACACGCATGCATAAAGACACTAAAAGATACACATATAAGAGAGTAAAGAGGTATACCTGTTAAAAATTCCTCTCAAGATCAGTGAAAAGATTCCCGTTGAATGCTTCGGCATCTTTCTTAACGGGCGAAGGGTCGAACCTCAAGGAGTAGAGAGTATGAGCCCAGGTCATGTTGGCTTTCAGCGACAGACTTCTGATTTTCGCAAACAGGAAAGTTTGTGAGGTCTCAGAGGTGTCCCAGTCAGAGGGAGATGCTGGTGACAGCCCGCTGCGGTCCAGGAGAGCTGAGAGCACCTTACTTAGTAGTACTGCTGTGTATAGGTTTGGGAGATGATTGACTTTTGTCATCAACAAATTGCTGGAATCCCACCTGCGCTGGTACTCTTTCATGTACAGATAAGGAAAGCTCTGAGGCTGTCTGAGAATAACTTAAAACATAGATACGGGATGCTCCAAGATTCTCACAGGAGGACTGTAATGTCTCAAGGTTGTTATGAGAGAGAACAGGCTATCTCTACTCCCATCCTCCACCGGGCAGCAGGAGTCCTTGAGACACACAGCATAGCTCTCTTAGTTGTGTAAGAGTTCCTGGCACAGCCAAGGGTCACTTAACTGCCCGACTCATTACACTTATGCTGAGGCCTAGCGAGACTTCCCAAGTTCATAAATCAGCCTGGAGAGGGGGGGAGAAATGCACCACCACAGGGGCTGTTTCTCTTCTGACTCTACCTGTAAACAAAGTGGCTTCTTCTTGTGTTCACCAGAGGCAAACAAGAAAGGATACTCATAATTAGTTTTGTTTCTTGCTCGAAGAGAGTCTATGTATTTAAAAAACAAACCCTTCAGAGCAAGGACCAAGCAGCGTGCCTCTAATGTTGAGTCTGTTTTGGAACTTGCCTTCAAGTGAGAATAAGGTTTGTCCCACAGTCTGGTTTGTGGTTTTTAATCTTCTCCTTTCACTGCTTTTTTGGGGTTTTAGCAAGTCAGTAGCTGGCTACAAATCTGAGACTGGCTGAACATAGTCTGATGCGGAATAAGCCACAGCTTTGCTGATAAACTGTTCCTTCTTCTGTTGCAGGGCAAGCACAGCCTTCTGCCCTGGGAGTTTATGTGTGTGTTTATTACTTCTACCCTTACTTTTGAACCCAGGCACTGTGGATCCAGTCTGAGGTGTGTGCTTTGCTGGACTGAAGCCCATCACTGCTGTTAGGCCCCCCTCACACTTCCACACAGGTGTATTTTTTTTGCTGGATGATCGAAGCATGCAGTTCCTACAAAGGGAACTGTATTTAGTGGGCAATCCAGCAGAAAACTGGATATATCAGTTGGTGATGGTTTCCTTTCCCTTTTTCCCACTAGTCTGAGTGTCCAGGATGCTCAGGTACTCACTTGCATAGGAAGAAAAGGGGAGGGGAAAAAAAAAAAAAAGCTGCATTTCTACAGTGGTTGGTTTTTAAAGATCTGAAGTGCTATGGAGAGTCAGATCCCTGTGGAAGGGAGCGGTGGCTGCTCTGCATCAGGAGAGCTTTGGGAAAACTTGGAGGGTTTTGTATATGGAAAAGAGAGGAGGCTGAGCTCAAGTGGATGGCAGCTGCTGGAAAATTTTCTTTCCCTTTGGGTATGGATACCAGGTTAGAAGGGAGCTGGAAAATGCTAGCCCAGAACACAAGATTTCTTGATCCCATCTTGTTCTGTGAGTGTATAAGTCTTCCTCCCTGTGCGTCGCCACAGAACTCGACAGTGAGCACCCAAAGCACGAACCAAAAGCTAAGTGAATTTGTGTTCCTGCTCACCACTCAGGTATGTTTAAGGGCTGTTTCTTTCCAGCTTCTCAAAAAAAGGGCACAATTCAGAAGACAGTGCAAGCATGCTGAGAAAACACACTGTCATCCTGCTGCTGTAAACTGGGCTTTTTTCTCTGAAAAGCGGAGAGCAGAGCTTGTGATTTTCCTCCAGAGGTTGCAAGCAGCGGTGTTCTGTACCACACAGCTCCATGGGCACTTGCGAAAGACAGCAGCACCCTGAAACGAAGGGGTCCCCTGTCCTGGCTGAGACATCTTGAGTTGTTTTTGTAATCTCCTTCCCCATAATTGAGGACTCCGATTCCCTGTCTCCTGAACTATGAGTGTGGGAGAGACCAAAACTGAGGCAAGGTGCTTGATCTCTCTTGCCCCAGGCTGCCAGGCTTAGAGCTTTGGTGCTTAATGGTTTTGAGCAGCTGATCCCTTTTTTGGGTCTGTGAACAGCAGCTTTAGGAGAAAAACAGTCCCTCTACTAGAGTAAACAAGGCGGCTATTGGTTTGTATTAACATGCTTGTAATTTTGGATGCTTCCTTAGGTATAGCTCTGCTCAGGTGTCAGTGCTGGGTTGTTGCTTTTGAGCTGAACCAGTGATAAATTGCCACTTACGTGCTGCACTCAAAAAATATATTTACTCAGCTGTCCTACCAGGTATGGCTTGGGCAGCTTGCAGATCCCTTCAGCCCTACACTGCCAATTCTGGAATTAACCTTGCTGTTAATAGGGCAACCATCATTGAAGAAAGCATTTTCTTGCTCAGTTTTAGGCGTTTGGTTTCTCTTAGAGTTGAAGTGAGCATGCAGTTGCAATACTAGCTTACTTTGTCACGCTGGTAAGAGTTTATTCACGTTATCTTAAGCTATATGGGGTGTGCAAAACACAATAGGTGTTTGCTCTTGTTTTTACTGCTTTAAACTACCTCTAAGCTTTGGGTGAACAGAAACCCATGCTCGGATGTTTGCCTGCTGCTCTCTGCTGGGTGTGGAACCTCCCTAATTCACCCTGAAGACCCTGGGACCTGCAAGCATGTGAGTTACCTTGGAAAATTAAACCAGCAGCCACTTGGAGCAACAAGGTACAGTGCACGTGTCCTTCCATTCTCATCGAGGGTATTTTATCTCCTGCAGCAGATTACAAATACCTAACCTGTGGGTTACTCACTGACTTGCATTGCAAGTCTGGCCTGATCTGTGGTCAGGCAGAAAGCAATTCTGAGGAGCAGGTGTTTGTGTGTGTGTTACTGGGCTGTGTTCAGAGTGGATTGTGTAGTTCTTGTGCTTGCTTTTGATGAAGATACCTCTGATTATACAACTGACGAGAGAGCAAGAATGATGTTATGTTGGGCAGAGGCAGTTTTTAAGAGTGGCACTTGTGGCCCCAGGCTATGGAGGGGAACCCACAAAAGCAAAGATGGGTCCAGAGCATGTCATCCCTTTTTTTCATGTGCATTTATTTCCACAATCTCTCCCATTTTTATTCCAGCCTGTACTGGTATAGTAAGGGCTTTTACTTTCCCCCAAACCAGTTTGCAGCTGCATTTTCCCATTAAGACCTGGGCTCTTACTGCAGGGCAGTAGCAGGGCGGCTTTAGCACTCACTGAGCCAGCGAGCTCCTGGCTTTTGATGTTCAGGAGGCAATGCTGTTGCATTTGTAGAGCAGCTGCATCCTAGATCTGAAATTGTGTTGCTTGGTCCTGCTCCCAATGCAGCTAGGCAGGGGCAGATGCTGTTAATTCTCAGCTTTCCAGCTGTGCAAGTGAAAAAGTGAGTGTAGTTAAGAGGGGGACGTATTTGAAACTGCAGAGTGTGAAGTGGGGCAGTTTCTCCCCACTTGTGCCTGTTTGTTTGGGAAATAGGGGGTGACAGATCTTGGGCAGAGGGAAACATTTTGCTGAATTACAAGATACTAAAGTGAGATTTACAGATGCCTTAGATCATCACATTTTTATTTGAACTGTTGAAAGTTTGGGGTTGGTTTTTTCCATGGTATAAGCAGTTAATTTTCCGTTGGCAAGAACTGAAGGTATCTGGCACTTGCGTGGGGTAGGTGGTCGAACTTTCCCTTGTCAGATTGAACTTTAAAACCTCCTTCAAACTAAACATTGCTTTTTTCTGCTCTTTGCTTAACCTTCTGCAGCCGGTCATCAGCCTTTGGCCTCAGCATCCTACCCCCCTCTCACCCTCCCCTGCTTTCATCTCAGCTCTGCTTGAGCACAGAAATCCAGTAGGGAGGCTGCTTTGGACTGGTTTGGGTTCAAGCTAGTCTGCCCTTTGTCTTAACAATTTGCATTTGCATCCTAAAAGCAGAAGGCTGGAGGTACAGGGGCAGGTAAGAGAAACAGATTTCACTAATCTTTCATTGTTAATTAATTCCTTGTAACAGGTTCTTTTCCCTTTGTAGGAGCCCTGTGAATTTTAGCTGCTGACAGTTTTTTTGCTCTAGGCATGGGCCCAAGGAGCCATTTCAAGAGGGCCCTCCCATCCCAGCTCTCATGAAGGCTCGCTTCTGTACAGCTCACTAAAGTGTCATGCTTGACTTTTATCCCCAACTTGTAGCAATGCTTCATGGTGTGGAGAGCAATTCATAAGGTCAGGCTGTCCTGAGTAATCACTGATCTCTTGCCCAGCTGTAAAAGAGCACTGCTGATTTGCTTTGCACTCTGTTTTTGGGGTGTGAGGGGATGGGGAAAAGGCTTTTATTCTCAAGAGCCGAAGTCAATCTCAAAATGGTTTGAGATACTTAACATTCCCTGGGCTCTTTAGCACACTGCATGGGTGCTGTGGGACATTCACGCCACCATAGGTAGCACTGGTAGGCTCAGTAGATTGGTTGCTGGGGGGTGAGCTGTGAGTCTGCAAGCTCAGTTAGTCATCCTTTCATGCAGCGATGAGAAACACTGGGATGGAAGTGGCCTGCGCTGGCTGAAGTCCGGCTGTGTTGCACAGCAGGCATGGGATGGGGGAGTTTATGCTTCCCTGGAGCCTTCTGATTTTGAGCTGAATCAGGAACTTGTTTTTTGGCTTTCCATGCCAAGGGGATGAAGCAGGAAAAAGAGCCCTTTCTCATTTTTACATTATTCCTTGCTAGTAACCCCTTTCAGACAGTGATGTTGCAGTAATACTTTTGGGATCCTTCCAGGATGAAAGAAGTTGACATATGGAGTGCATGGCAGTGCTGCAGGGGAAAAGGGAGTGTTGAAGAGCTCTGGAGGGAGGAGGACTTTTTCGGCCAAGTGCTACAGCAAAGAGCTGGCCTAAGAAATAGCATGGGCTCTTGCCTGTAAGAGACAAGACTGGACACATCAGGGTCCAAGTCAGCCTTAGTGGCTGATAAATTTTATTTAAAGTGTTAGTGTGAAGTCCTGTATCTCCTCTAAGTTGATGGAGTCAAGACTTTACTGTGAAGTAGAAACAGGGAGTCTTTCCCATTTAATCAGGACAGGATGAAGACGAGGTGCTCTCCCCACTCTTGTGCTTTGGGTTTTAAATATGAGATTAGCAGCACTTTCTGTGATGGCAGACACAACGATCTGCCTCTAGCTTGACAGAAGCAGGCAGTTGTGCTTGTACAGGCAGGTGGATATGCCTTTCCCTGGAGCTGAGCTGAGTGACAGGCCGCAGACTACAGTGAGGTTGTCCTTTCTGCGGTGGGACCAGCCATGGCTACATCAGGGCTGCTGGAGCCAGAGAGAATTAAGCGTGGGTGGGGGAAGGCTGCTGGCAGGCAGCAAAGGGCCACCCTGGTCCAGGCCCTAGAGCTGTGGAGCACAGAAGTGTGCCTGGCTTGTTGCTGGCTGATTTTTTTCCTGTAGGAGTGAAAGGTTCGGAAGAGCAGCGCTTCCTGGAGCACTTTCAATTGTCTGAATATTTTTCCTTTCTCTTGGCCTCCTGCCCTGGGTGTTGTTTTTCCTTCTGTATTCGGTTGACTTCCCTCCCCTTTCAGATTTTTTGTCCTCTGCATCTATCCTAAACCTTTTGAAAGATAATCTGTTTGTTGTTACCAGCAAGAGCAGTGGCTGTGGCCTGAGCAAGTACGTCTTGTTTTGCATGTTTTCTTGCAGAACTTGTTGCTATGCTATTAGGCTATGCTAGAGAGGGCCCCTTGGGGCTCGATATGGTCTCGATGCCAAATGAGGTAATTTCTGCTTTTGCAGAGGAATTGGAGCCAAGATGAAGTCATTGCCCCAGAGCCTGGAGAGGGGGTTGTAAAAGAACCCAGAGGTCTCCTGCATCCTGGATCAGCCCTTGAGTTGCTCCTGTTTTCTTCCCCCAGGTGCTGGCCTACCAGCCCTGGCAAGACCACAGACCCAGAGGTGACCAGTGCTAAATGCAGCTGATCTTTGATTTAGTTACTTAGGAGGCAGTGCTTGGTAGCTGTGGCAGTGAGTATGCGGGGGCAGGCAGAGACCTACCCAAGTTAGACGTATCTTTGAAAAAGTCTTCCACGGCAGGCAAGTCCTGGGCGGGCTGCCAGCCCTTTCCAGTAGTTGTTTCCCGAGCTGTTGTGGCTGCGGTCTGTGAGCTTCCTCCCACGGGGTATGTGAACAAACCCACCACAGAGTCATGTAAAGGGCATCTCAAAACCACAATATGCAGGAAATCTTGCGTGCCACTTAATCGGCCCTAGGATGGCTGATGAGGCCTTGCTGCCAGAGCTGGTGGGATGTGCAGATCCCCTGCTTTAGCAAAGGTGGAAAATACAAATTCTCTCTGCCTTGCTGGGAGATTTTCAGAGACCTGCTTTTGCTGGAACATGGTTATTACCATTAGCCTATCCTCCTCTGGTACCAGGATCAGTCAGTTTGCATTGAGGTGTTGTGAACTTTGGACAGGAATAGCAGTGGTGCACCAGCTACACCATACACACTTATAAAATACACTTTTTCAGGATTAAAGATGCTCAATGCATGGAGGGACCTACTTCCCTGAAGACCTCTTCCTTATCACCTCTCTTCTCTGCTTTAGTGTTTCCTGCATCAGTACCTTAAATAGTGTAAAGCTGAGGTGACCCTGAAAGCACAGACAGTAATTGAAGGGGAGAGAGGAGCTCAGGTGAAGGGAGAAAAGAGACCAGGAAAAGTAGGAGATTCCCCCAGGGAAAAGGGGAAGAAAACAGTCAAAAACATTTTGTCTAAGGCCAACTGGGCTGTGGAGCTTGGGGTACCTGGGAGCTCTCCCCATGAGGAAGATGGGTAGGATCTGTACAGAAGCATAAATATACCTGGACTGCAAATCAGGGCAGCTGGAAGGCTTTGGTGGCTCTGTGCTGGCTCCTGTTGCAGGCAGGCCTGGGGAAACGCTGCATGGGCAGGGTCCTTTCACTGTAGCCACCTCGGCTCGCTGATGGGGAGGACTCAGAAGTTCAAATCATCCTTTTTTGTACAAAGTTGTCAGGGCTGAGCCTGCTGCTTAAAAAAGAGGGCACCAGGGGCTTTGGGAAAGTACTGTTTTCAGTGTATTGTTTCTAAAAGTGGTGTGTGCTCAGAGGCATGCTCATCCTGCTGGTGGTGTCTGTCTGTCCTCTTGGTTTGTCCTGTAGCTACAGGACAAAAGGACAACTGGAGAGGACCGTGGGGCTCCTGTCACTCTGATGTTGGCTGAAACGGGGCCCGTGGGCTGCGGAGGCAGCATGGGTTTTCTGGGCAGGCCAGTGTGTATAAGCTTTCTCTTTCTGGTTCCAGGACAATGCATCTTTTTGTGGTGTGTCTCTTCAGTGTCTGGGGTCTGGCTGCCCCTGAGCGCTACGTCGTGGAAGACGTCTGCACTGCAAAGCCACGCGACATCCCGGTGAATCCCATCTGCATCTATCGCAACCCTGAGAAGAAGCCCCAGGAGGGCGAGGGGCAAGAGCCAGGGAAGGGCAAGCTCCCAGAGTCTACTAACCCCCGGGTCTGGGAGCTGTCGAAGGCCAATTCTCGCTTTGCTGTTGTCTTCTACAAGTACCTGGCTGACTCTAAGGACAATGGGGAAAACATTTTCATGTCACCACTCAGCATTTCTACAGCCTTCGCCATGACCAAGCTCGGAGCTTGTGGTAGCACCCTCCAGCAGCTCATGGAGGTCAGTGGCATTTCCTCAGCCTTTTCCTGTAGCTGTCACCAGGTTCTCAAAGACAGCAAAGGTGATAATGGCCAACTGCTGCTAAAGGAATCCCTGGGTCAGGATGGATCCCTGGTTTGTGAAGGGAGACTTCTATTTAAACAAGCCCCTGGGAAGGACATATACAAGCTGCTTGTCTTGGGATTTGGTTAGATCCCAGCTCTTTCCTCTCACTCCCTATTTGGATCCAGCATTCTGGGGTGGATTTCCTGGGTTTGAGAGGTTAATTTTCATCTGGAGGAAAGGAAGCCCATTTGGGAGATGAGGGAAGGGAATGGGAACAGTTTGTTTCTCACAGGCTGGGCAAGCAATGAGCTGAGCAGGTAGCTAAGCCTCTTCTTGTGCAAAAAGCAGCAAAAGCCATGATACCGAGTCCCATTGAGAAAGGCTCTTTTTCATATTCTCTCTCTCTCCTTTGGGGCAAAAATAAGACACGTGGGACACCTTCCAGTCCACCTGGCTTCCAGGGCTGTGCCACCCTGCAGGAGCACAGGAACATCAGTTAGGCTTACTACAAGGAGGCCCTCAAGAAGTAAGAGCAGTCTGAGTGCTTAGCCAGAACTAAACAGCTTCTGTCTGCTTGTGTTGGGCAGTATTACAACAGCACAGTAAGAGCCTGAGCTTCCCAGGCAGGGGAGCCTGTATGCAGGGAGCCTCTCCTTCCAGCTGTGGCTTCTAAACCCAAAGGAGGGAGTTCTGGTCCTGCACAGAGAGGTAATCCTGAGTTCTGGCTCTTCCATGGGACCAGTTAACTCCCTGCCTGTCCAAGCACCCTTCTCGCTGTCAGACCTGCTTGCCTGACAACTGCGAGTACGCTTATCTGCCATGTGGGGTTTGGTACTGCCTGTACCTTCCTTGCAGACTGGAGACTATAGCCCAGAGGGGCCTTTCTCCCTGCAACGAGGAGGTGTGAATCAAACTGCTCCACTTGTCCCCACTGCCGCTATCCTTATAGATCCTGCCTCTGGAGTAAGTAATGTTGGGGTCTCCTGCCATCATCCACACAGTCTGGGCAGAGCAGAGCAGTGAACCATATCTCCAAAATCTTCACTCATGCCTTCCCCTCTGGGCAGCCCTTCCCACTGGAAAGGACCCTTCTCTCACTAAGCCACCCAGGACCCAGAGCTGCACTTCTAATCCCCCCTTTTCCCTACAAAAGGGCCAATAATGCCACCTTTGCCTCCTAGGAAATGGTCCCAGAGATCCTGGATGTTCATGTGGAGCAATGTGCTGTGGGATTTTCTGTGCCTTAAAACCCTAAGGTTTGGTAGTAGTAGACAAATCATAACTGTCCTTCCAGCTGGCAGCTAGGAGCAGATAAGAAAAAATGCACTGTGCTGCAGAAATCTACCCTCAAAACGATTGCTACATATTCCCATTCCCTGCTAAAATAGATAAGATGTACCAGAATTACTCAACAGGCCACAAGAACTGCTCCTGGAAAGGAGCAGCCTTTGGCATCATCACAGGAGGGTTTAGCACAAATCTTGTGAGTCCTCCTGTGACCTGCACTGACCCGAGAGATGCTTCCAGGCCCCATCAGCGCAATGCTTCTCGGGTGAGGCTCTCACTGGGGTGTGGTAGAGGGTTTATGAACACTGTGGATAAGCTATGTTAATTTTACCAGCACTGGGGGAAGCCTTGTGGTTCATATGCCAAGCTAGAATCTGTTCCCTGACAGGGGTCAGAGTGCACAGAGAAAAACATCGCCAAGACCTTAGTGTGTCTTCTCTACAGCTATCTAAAGGGTCTAGCTAAGTCATGCCCACGTTTGAGATAGACACACACAAAATGATGCATCTTGCCCTGACAGCTGGGGCAACAAAAGTGCGTGGGGAACAGAGGCAAAGGAAGAGGCAGATCCAGGCAAGTGCCCTGCCAACAGCTCTAGGGAAGGAGCTTCAGTGAGCAAGAGCTGGAGTCTTCTCTCGGGTAGGGTGCTGGGTCAAAGACAGTGAGAATTTGGGACCAGTCACAGGCAGAGTATGGAGAGCAAGGAAGCCAGAGTTAGAAAGAGGAGTAGTACCTCTCCATGCTGAGCAGTGTTTAACCCTCCATTTTGGACCTCTCCAAATCTAGGTCTTGGGATGGCAATGTGTTGCTCTTGCGTAGATTTGGGTTCCAAATTAAACATGGAGGGTGAAGTTCTGAGGGCCTGCAGATTTCTTGCCTTTGTGCAGGCAAAGGCTGCATCACCACTTGCTGTGGGGCTCGGGAGCTGTGGGAGTGCAAGGGCCTGCTCATGGATTCCTCCTCACTGTTTGGCTCCTCCAGGTCTTTCGATTTGACACCATTTCGGAAAAGACATCTGATCAGATCCACTTCTTCTTTGCCAAGCTGAACTGCCGGCTTTACAAGAAAGCCAACAAATCCTCAGAGCTGGTATCGGCCAACCGCCTTTTCGGGGAGAAATCTTTGGTCTTTAATGAGACTTACCAGAACATTAGTGAAATAGTTTATGGAGCGAAACTCTGGCCCTTGAACTTCAAAGTGAGTTTGAACTACTTGGGATTTTTCTTGTTCATTCGTTTTTTTCCCCGCCCTGTCCTTCTGCTTTTGCTGTGTCCCCATCTTTTGCCCACAAGGAGTGCCTTGCATTGGGTGGGTGGGACTATGGGATGCAGCTCCTCCTGTCCCAGCTCACCTTAACCACAGTCACTTTACCACTCCTCATTTCTAAACATTGCAGCACTACACTGGGAGCAGTGTCCTCCCCGAGCACGCAACTTGTTAAAGTCTCCTGCAGAAGGGATACAAAGAGGTGTTTAAAAGCTTTGACTTAACCTTTTTTGGTCTCTTCCTTCAGGAGAAGCCAGAATTTTCCAGGAAGATCATTAATGAGTGGGTAGCTAACAAGACAGAGAAGCGCATTACAGAAGTGATCCCAGAAAGAGGTATTGATGATCTCACTGTCTTGGTCCTGGTCAACACCATTTATTTTAAGGTATGGCGAACAAAACTGGGGGAGCAGCCCATTTCCCTGGGGGAAACATGATGCTCATGTTTGTCCTCCCCTTCTCCCTTTTAGGGGCACTGGAAATCGCAGTTCCCAGCTCCAAACACAAAACTGGATTTATTTCATAAAGCCAATGGTGAGACCTGCAAAGTCCCAATTATGTACCAGGAGTCCAAATTCCGCCACGCATCCATCCCCCAGGACAAAGTCCAGGTGCTGGAGCTGCCTTACAAAGGGGATGATATCACAATGGTGCTGGTCCTGCCCAGTGCTGGCACACCATTGGTGGAGGTGGAGCGAGACCTGACATCGGAGAAGCTGCAGGACTGGATAGACTCCATGATGGAGGTATCTCTCTTTGTCTACCTCCCTCGCTTCCGCGTCGAGGACAGCTTCAGTGTCAAGGAGAAGCTGAGAAAAATGGGGCTGGAAGATCTCTTCAGTCCAGAAAATGCCAGACTCCCAGGTTAGATGTGGAGACGGGGTGGTGGAGGGTGGAGGTGGGGGGTAACCATTCCTCCATGGGTGCCAGGGCAGTAAGTGCAGCAGCACATGAGGAGCAAGAACATGAAAGCATTTAGATGTTGCTGCAGTCAATGATGGACTCTGTGGTCAAGTCCCATCATGGACATGCAGCCCTGCTCTGCACTAAGGACATGGGAGTTAAGCAATCAATTGCAGTTGGTGAAGGATATTTCTGCCAAAACCAGGACAGCAGACATGCCTTCCGCTTGAACACAGTCTATGAAGGATGGAAGCATGTTCTTTCCTGAGCTGTTGTCTAAAAACATAGTTTTAACTTTCTCCATTTTGTATTTCAGGTATCATTGCAGAGGGTCGTACAGACCTGTATGTATCTGAGGCTTTCCATAAAGCCTTCCTTGAGGTAAGCCTTGTTTTTTCCCAGGGGTGTCTTCCTCTTTGTTGCTAAAACCATTAAAAAGAAAAAACAGCTCTGAGCCCATGGTGTTCATGTCCTCAGTGATCTGGGGCTTTGGGGAGAGGTCGGAGCTTGGCACCCACCTTCCATGGAGAAGGAGGGCGAGCCCTCTACATACTGCATAATGCCCATATCTTAATCCCATCTTCTCTTTTGGTTGGTAGGTGAATGAAGAAGGTAGCGAGGCATCAGCTGCTACAGCTGTCACTGTCTCCGGCCGTTCCTTCCCCATGAACAGAATAATCTTCAATGCCAACAGGCCCTTCCTGCTTTTCATCCGGGAAGCCTCCCTCAACACCATTATCTTCATGGGCAGAATAGCCGACCCTTGCTCCTAAAGGGGCTCTCAGGGCCTCGCCTCTCCCTCCTCTGCCTCTGGAAAAGGGGCAGTAGGGTATTGCCATGAAGCCTGGGCTGCTCCTGGGGTGTTTGGTCTTACTGTTTGGTGCAAGCTGCAGGGAGGGACTGTATCCAGCTGGGCTGTAACCGCTCCTCCTTGCTGTGTCAGGTGAGGTGGCTCAGAGGGCACTTCACCTGCTCCATCCTTCATTCAAAGGGAAGCTGAATTTTTTTCCGGCACCAGTATTTTTGAGGCACCCAAACCTGAGTCCAGCATTGCTGTCATTCTTATATCCAACCCTCCTCCCTTTCAGGCCTCAAACTGTAACTCTGATCCCCTGGTTCATTAAAAACCTATAGATCTGTATGTAACAAACTGATCTCTGAATCGACAGTTTTCACTAAGTCACTTCCTGGACTTATTTAAACTTTCCTTTTTCAACAAATGGGCCCTTCCCTCTGTTCCCCGGTCCCAGCAGAACAGCCCCATGCTGGAGCAGTCAGTGGAACAGCAGCAGCTAAATGGCATGTGCTGGCTGGGCCGGAGACATCTTTACGCAGCTCTGTGTGGCACAGCTGGTAGGTGGAAGAGCTGCCACACACCGGAGCCCTACTTGCCAACAGCTCTGACGTGTCCGAGTGCTAAGCAGTTGCTCTTGAAAACCTTGCGTAGCCAAGGCTCTGAATCTGTCTTTTTGAGTATTAAGACTTAAAACTAGGACCATGCTAAAAGTTACTGTAGCATGAACTGTGACAATGCCCAGGTAAGGTAACCAATATCTGTAACTCTTAAAAATCTGTTATCTCACCTGCAAGTTTACTCCTAGAGCTTGAGGCGTCCTGGCCTGCTGCCATGTCACATGTGTCATCTGACCTCTGGTCCACACACAGTGGCCATACTGCTGTAGGACCTCTGACAGGGTTGTCTTGAAAATGCAGAAGAATATGTGATGAGCTTTCCGCTAAGACTTCTGCATTTAGGGCGGCTGTTTAAAACAAGAGGAGCAGTGAAAGTGCAGTCCTGTCCTGTTGTCAGTATGTTACAGAAGTGGTGCGTGCAGACAGTTGCTAAAACACCAATAGATGGCAGTCCCCAGTGTGCAATTTACTCTGGATTTTGTAGAACGAGTGAAACATCCGCCTTTATAATGGCTGCTTCTCAGCAGGAATTGCCACAGCAAGCCAAGCAATGAGGGAGTTAACTTAGATGTGCCAATCTGTGATAGAGCTGGTATGAAAAGATGTTTTGTTGCTCTGTCTGTAGTTTTGGAAGCAGTTAGGGGGTTTGCAGAACTATCTCTCCTGTTCCCCAGCAGGAAGGTTTGAGTGTGTGTGTTGGAAGTGGTGTGTGGTTTGGACACGGAGAGTCACCTCTTCTGTTCTGTCACGGGGCTGTGTCGGTCGGTCCCCTACACGCTTAAGAGACCTGTAAAGCACCTGCCCCTTCTGTGCTGACACGCTTGCCTGGAGTAACGCCTCGGAAAGCAGCTGTGTATGTAATGCAGAAGCTGGGGCCCTGGAAGAATAGGGGGAGCATTTTGGAAATCACTAAGAGTTCAGAAAGCAGCTCTTCCTCTCCTTGTCCTACTCTGGGAGTCACCACTGTAGCTTTTCTTGCTGGATCCTACCTTCTGCTTGCTTACCTCATTGTGCAGCTTCAGAAATGTGCAGTCTCCTCCTGTAACCTCTGCCTTTGCGGTTGTGCTCCAGGCTGCGGAGGTAGAGGCTGGTTGCAAGAGGAGGGTTGAGGCAATGCCTGGGTCTCCCTAGCATGGCATCGAACCAAAATGCTCCACCTGCCATCGGCAGCCAAGAAAGCCCGCTTGCTGTAACACCCATCAGGCGCTTGGCCTGCAGCGAGAGCATAGTGCTTTCTCCACCTGGTGAGACCGAAAAGGACTGAGCCTGCAGAAATGGTGAGACAAAGCTCATTAAAAAAGGACAGAAGTCATTTAAGATGCTGGGAAAAGCAGCCTGGTACTGCCCAGCCTCTCCCATGTTGCTAAGCTTATGGCCGTGCAGAGCTGCCTCAAGCAGGGACCAGGTTCTCGCACCACAGCTGATTTGAAGCGGGCAGCAAAGAGAAAATCGATGTCAGATCAGACCAGTCAGCAACAAGACACGGACGAGGATCTGAGTATTAAACCATTTAATTCTCAAACCACTCACATGCATAATGTTCTTTTACACAGTGTTAAAAGAAAGAAGAAAATGCAATTTGTTTTCTTTTTTTCTTTTTTTAATACAAACAGTATTTCAAGTATACACTTATAGAATTTTCAAAGATTCCTACCCAAGTTGCTAAGTTTTCATTCACATTGTTCTTAAAGCTGTCCAATGAGAGCGCTTTTTGCTAAACTGCTTTCAATGCAATTGTACAGTCCCCTCTACCTTGGTTTGATTTCCCCCTTCCCCAACTCTGGTTCTTTTACCACCTTTGCCTGTCCCCCCTCCAGCAGCACTGGCCCTCTCTGTAAGCTGTTGGGCACAGAGCTGGTGGCCCCTCCAGAGAGTTTCTATCTGCCAGCTCCCGCTGGAAGAGGAAAAGGAAAGCAATGGTGGAGGACCAGCTTGTAAAATCATTTAAGAACAGTCTGATATCCACAAGTTACATGCAGCAGGATCACTCTTCAACCTACTGCAGACTAGTGTGAACACTTGACTTTTTTTTTCTTCTTGAAATAAGGATCGCAACCAAAAATAAAATTAATTAAAAAAAAAAAAAAAAAGAGAGAGTAATTAGTACAGCAGGAAATTTCTTAACTGTGAAAGTAAGTTTTGAGTGTTAGGACACCTGTCCTAAAAAGTCTGATTTATAGGTCAACAGTTGAAGGTGACAGCACAATTTTTCTTACAAATGGTTACTCTGCAAACCAGCTCAGAGCAGAATCAATGTGGGACAGGCAAACTTGGATTTAAAAAAAAAAAAAAAAAAAAAAAAAGCTGAACTGACTAGGGCTCCATATCCATGTTATGGAAAAAAACCCACAATCCCAGCAACAACTTCGTTGTGGCTTTGCTCGTTCAACTTAGCTCACCCCTGTGCAGGTGGATGGGCCATCTGCTGTGTTGTAACTTCTGACCTATTATGAACGGGGTTTAAATATTCTTTACAGGCAAGGGTGGGTTTTTATTGACCGATTACAAAAGTATTCTAACAGGCTCATGCATGCCAGTCCTGTTAGCGCTACAGCACGGCTGAGCTGCAACCAGGTTTGCGGTTGCGGTGAAAACTCCTGTCTGTAGTGTGGGCAGGGGCAGCGCCAGGCCGGGAGGGCTGCGGGAGCGGGAGGTAGAGCTGTGGTAGTTTTTGGGCTGCCAATGGCAGCCCAGGGTCTGGCAACGTCGCTCCCTCCTGGGCTCTGGCTGACAAGAAGCCACCTACCTGTACAGCTGTGTCAAAAGCCAGCAACAGCCATACTCATGTTAGGATTTAAAGTGCATTTCTTCAGTAAAGGGTTTTTCTTTTTTTTTCTTTTTCTTTTTTTTTCTTTTTCTTTTTTTTTTTCTTTTTTCTTTTTTTAAAAGGAACCTATTTAAAGTGCTGTTCTAGTTTGGAAAGGGACTCTGTTTAGGAAAAAAAACGGCACCTTTTGACATGAGAGATCTGCTCTCTGTATGTGTTTTTGTATATATATATATATAAATTTGCAGAGTCAGATCTGCTGACTAATGAACAACATATAAAAGTGTTTTGTATTTTATTTTATTGCTTTTTTTTTTTTTTTTTACTGCTGCCTGCTCCCTTGGAGGCAGGAGGGAGATGGATTCTCCTCTTACCTTCCACACCATTAACTAATTTCCCAGTGCAGGAAGCTGAGCCCACAGTCTCAGGCCCGCGGGACAGTTCGCTATTACACAGAATAGGTGAAGTAACGAATCCACCCTGAACTGTCGCAGCCCCAGAGTGAACCTGCAAGGGTCACAGCAAGAAACTGGCGGCAAAGAGGGACGATGGACCCCAAAAGGCTTCCCCCTGCTCCTGCCAGATGCCATTTTCATAAGAGTCACTTTACAGAGCAGACCTGCATTTCTGAAACAGAGGTAAGGAAAACAAATCTGGTTTAAGTGAAAGCTTTGCTGATAGAGTGTGTAGCGTGGTAACCTCAGCACTCCGAGAGAGAGAGGTAGTTACTGTCCTGTGAATCTTCTGCTGCTTAACGCAACTCAATTTCTGGAGTGATTGCTCAAAAAAAAAAAAAAAAAAAAAAGGAAAAAAATCCTGTGCTCTCTATTAAAAGTTATCCCAGTTAAATCTTTCTGTTGAAGACATACTTGACTATTCCCTCTAAGAAGCTTTTATATTTTAGAAATTGATTGTCAGTTTAGTTCATTATGAAATCAAATTTGATTAGCAAATTGCTATATAAAGCCACTTACATTGTTAAACTCTTGTTACAATACTCTTCCACTGCTCTGCAAGGAAGTGTTCAATCATCAGTGTCCCTGTTTGGGGGGGTATTGTTCAGCTGAACAGGGTCCTCAGTCACATCTTGTCTGCTACAGCGTCACTGCATGACAGCATAGGACAGCATTTCATGCTCTGAGCAGTTTTAATGGAAACGTTAAAAAGAGCTACCGGTGTCATATTCACAGTGTTGTACAGGAAAGATGGGGGTGACGCTGGGGAAAGGAGGGGACATAGCTCATGGGAGCTTCAGCTAGTGTTTAAGGTAGCAGAGGCTTAGGGGAAAACCGCCGCCGTTCCCTTCCCTTTTCAAACAAAAGCAGTACTTTGAATAGCTTGCTTTCATTTCTGTGAAATGACCTCTGATAGAGTCTTCTCTTGTCCTTTCCTAAACCTCCCTGTAAGCGTGGGGCACAAGGTGAGGAATACGTTACTGCAAGAACATACGGCTGCGTATTATTCTCTTCATAACTCAGCTTTTAAAAGAGCTTATTCAGAAAAGTCCCTGTTTTGCCACCAAGAAGGATCACTCTCGCACTCCTTGGCCTGTCCTAACTGTCAGCAATTTTACATACACAAACACAAAAGAAACATGCATTATTTGAATGACTATAGTCCGCTTTCACTTCAAAATACTTTTCTCAGTCACTTTGCCCTGTGACAACATAGCCCTGGAAGCTGTCACATGTCAGCTTTCTGCCCAGGCAAGCACTTCAGAGGAGCCAAAAGGAATTAGTTTTAAGCAAAGGGTATGACAAAATTCTGCTTTTCATCCCAAATTCACCCGCAATCCTGATGGGCTGCTTCCCCCAACAGCATAACCCTGGCTTAGGAAACCCTCTAACATGTGAGAGAAGTACCTGCGCACCACCTACAGTATCATTCCCTGCATCTCCATCAGAGATCCAGCTTGCCCTCAGCCTGTAAACACACGCAGCGATGACAGCCTGTGTGAACAAATATC